GTTGGGAGTAGAAGTAGGTGGAGTTGGTGGGTTGGGAGTAGAAGTAGATGGAGTTGGTGGGGTGGGAGTAGAAGTTGTGGTGGTGTTATCACTTGTGGTAAGATCACTGGTAGTCATGTTTGAGCTGGGGTTAAGTGATGTTGACTGGGTTGCTGGGGGAACAGAGATACCAAGTTTCAGAAGACAGAACATTCAGTACATAATGGCAATTGCTTTTAATACTAGTTAGTACCCAATCATTCTTTTCTGAAAAACAAATACAGTTGACTACATTAAAAATGAAAGTACGTGGGGCGCCTGTGTGGCTCAGTCGTTAAGCATCTGCCTTCGGCTCAGGTCATGATCCCAGGGTCCTGGGATCAAGCCCTGCATCAGGCTCCCTGCTCAGTGGGGAGCCTGCTTCTCCCTCAGCCTGCCCCTCCCCCTGCTTGTACTCTCTCTCTCTGACAAATAAATAAATAAAATCTTAAAAAAAAAAACAACATGAAAATACAGGACTGCTTGGAACACACACACAAAACCCCACAATAAATAAAAGTAAAAATTAAACAGACAAAACCGGAAAAGTGTTACTGAAATCTGTTACAAAAAGTTAGTATGTATGAAGATGAGTACCAAGAAGTAATACCGCTTCTGCCTGCAGTTGCAGAACTATATTAATCCGGGTTTAATACTCCTGAGTAGTCCTCTGTGAGGACAACTGAAAGCACCAGCAGGGGGTGCAGTTATGACCTGAAAGTGGCCTCCTTTTGTCTTTACAGTTTAAGGCAATCGTGCTCATTTCCCAATTATATGGCATTTTAGGGAGGGTTGGGAAAGGGGTGTGTTTAAAAGAATGATGAAATAAAAATACTTAGGTAAGTGTGTATTAAACTTCCTCCCCCAATTTGTTTTCTAGTGTTATTTACCCATTAATAATTTTAGACACATTATTTTTTTAAAGAGTAAAATGAAGAGAGATGATCTTTGCCCTAAGGGCTACAGTGATCATCAGAGTTGCCTTTTTTCAACTCTTAGGAACCCTTGGACACATGGCGTAGTAAACACTTAGTGGTCCAGTGATTAGTCTTCTAGAACCCTTCATTGTCTCAAAGAACTCTGACATTGACAACCAGTTTAAAAAAATTATTAAATGCTTTAGTGAGGGAAAAAAAAGTTTTAGTGAGGAAGTTGCAACCCTCAGATATTTAAAAACAAAACAAAACAAAACAAAAAACCTGGGGATGGCCCCTGGGTCTGTGAGCCCAGGCTGGCAGAATCTGGCTCTTCACCTTTAACAGGGCCTGGCTCAAATAATCATTAAAGGTTGAAGAGATAAAAACAACTGCTCTTCCAGGAGCAAGAAAACAGTTCACCAGCGCATCATCTTGACCTATTTCTGCTTCTCTTTTCTTCTAACAAGGGCTTACCCTGTGCCAGATAGTAACTGTGAAATTGACATGAGCTTCCACATTTGACAGAAGAGCCCACCAATACCCAGAGGGGTTTAGGGATTTGCCCAGAGGTAAGCCTTAATTCCCATGAGGAAGGGGACAAAAGACTCTTGATGCTAGAACCAGAGATTAAACCAGGCCCTTTGGGGGCCAAAGGAAAGGCTACCCAGCACCAGGCCCTTGGAACCTACTGATTTGTTCTTGTCTGGCCTGAGGAACTCTGGAGGACAAATCTCTGACTTGCTGAACCCCACACCCCGTAGTCCAGAGGCCCCTTGACTTCTGCTCTGTCTTCCTTCACCACAGACTGAAATGCCATATGTCTGAGCAGAGTCAGAAAATAGTTAGCCTGCTGGGCCATGGAATTGGTACCTTAAATACCTTAAGCCTCCTGGTTCTATCTCCAAGACAGCAAACGTGATTAAAAGAATTAAAAATTGTAAAATGTTGGGCGCTGGTGGCTCAGTCGGTTAAGCATCTGCCTTCGGCTCAGGTCATGATCCCGGGGTCCAGCATCGGGCTCTCTGCTCAAGCAGGGAGTCGGCTTCTCCCTCTCCCTCTGCCCCTCCCCCCTCTTGTGCCTGCACACTCACTCTCTCAAACAAAACCTTAAATAAAATAAAATAAAATGTAAAAATAGCAATCATTTTAAAACATTGTAAAATGTTTTCTTACCTAAGGTTACAATATAAAGAAGGCTGAGAAGAGTGAAATGAAGGTCTTTCATTTTAGATGTTCTTACTGGGCAATCCAAGGAGGAAATGACTTCCCCTCAGGCGTCTTTGGTTTTAACTCGCTTTTGGGTACAAAGTCTAGTCATTAACTGATGTCAGCCAGCCAGAGGCAATTACTTGTTAGGGTTTGGTCCTATACCATAGGTCTCTTCTGAGCTTTTGAGATAAAAGAAGTGGGCCTGGCCCTGGAGAGTATTTTTCTGTTCAAAATATTCTATCCAAATTATCACAGTCCAAAATAGCTCAAAACAGCCTAAACATCCTTGCGAGGTTGTGTGGGGTGGGGGTGGGGGAGTAGTTAATCTCTTTATATATCAAATATCCCTGGGCGACCACCTGTTAGGAGGTCACCATTCCTTTGAACATGCAATGACAGCTCTGTGCTCCACTCCCCGCCATTTGAGTGTGGAGATGCTGTTTCCTCCTGCTATAGATCCAGGAATCCCTGGGGATCTCTACCGTGGTTCCCCACACTGTGGCCCAGCTTTTGGGCAGCCTCCCTGATGGTCACGTGGAGCAACTTTGTAATCCTGTCTCCAGGCTTCCATGGCTCTCCACATAGCACTTTACCTGGACACGGCGCCCCCCCCCCATTCATGCCCTCAAACATAGTCAATCTCGAACTGTAGCATTTAGCCTAACTTTACCGAAGGCTTGTGGTTGACAGCACAGGGAGTGGGAAATGCAGTGCAGAAAAAGGAAAAACTTAAAAGAGTTGACTCTTTGTCTTCACTCCTGGTTGTTCGCTGGCCTGGCTGCCTGCTCCCCACTCCTCTACTCACCTCTTGTCCCCGAAGAACCCCTGAGAGCCCCTGACTTCTGTGCGCGGCACCTCAAACTCTTCGGCTACCAGCCAACCATTTATTATCCCAAAAGGCCGAACAAGCCACTCTTCACCGCCCTGGTGACCCAGTGTCAGAAAATGGACATCCCTTTCCTTGGTGAAATGCCCCCAGAGCCCATGCTGATCGACGAATTGTACGAGCTGGTCGTGGATGCCATCTTTGGCTTCAGTTTCAAAGGCGATGTTCGGGAGCCGTTCCGTGGCATCCTGGGTGTCCTGAATGGGCTCACGGTGCCCATTGCAAGCATCGACATTCCCTCAGGATGGGATGTGGAGAAGGGGAACTCTGGAGGGATCCAGCCAGACTTGCTCATCTCTCTGACAGCACCCAAAAAGTCTGCCACCCAGTTCACCGGTCGCTACCACTACCTAGGAGGTTGTTTTGTGCCACCTGCTCTGGAACAGAAGTACCAGCTGAATCTGCCACCCTACCCCGACACTGAGTGTGTCTACCGTCTGCAGTGAGGGAAGAGGGGTGTGCTTTCCTCCCAATAAAGACTTAGTGCCCCTCAAAAAAAAAAAAAAAAAAAGCTAGTTTCAGGAACTAGCCCTGTCACTCTTTTTTTTCTTTTAAAGATTTTATTTATTAATTTGACAGAGAGAGACACAGCGAGAGAGGGAACACAAGCAGAAGCAGAAGCAGAAGCAGGCTTCTACGGAACAGGGAGCCCGATGCGGGGCTTGATTTGAGGACCCTGGGATCATGACCTGAGCCAAAAGCAGACGCTTAACGACTGAGCCACCCCAGGGCCCCTGAAGTAGGGGCTTCTTAACCCAGGCCTCCCTCCCTACAACTCAGAACCCCAGCTCCCCCAGGGTCTGGCCCCAGCCAGAGGGATGAGTCCAGTTACTCCCCGTGAAATTAGCCAGAGTTTTACCTCTGACCTTAGTGAAGACAAATTTTTTTTAAAAGATTTTATTTATTTATTCATGAGAGACAGAGAGAGAGAGAGAGAGAGAGAGAGAGAGAGAGAGAGAGAAGCAGAGGGAGAAGCAGGCTCCCCGCTGAGCAGGGAGCCCGATGCAGGGCTCGATCCCAGGACCCTGGGATCATGGCCTGAGCCGAAGGCAGACGCTTAACCATCTGAGCCACCCAGGCGCCCAAATTTTTTTATGTTATTACACATAAGGTTACTTCTTTGCTGTCCCAAAAGTCTCCACTCAGGAATAGGATATCGGGTTTGCTCTTATACAGCCAAGAGGCCCATTTAAATATTTTTCCCAAACAAGGAAGCCCCGTGCTGTTACTCTCAGCTTGAAGGATTCCTGGCACCAGAATTTAAATCAAAGCCTCTTTTACATCTTTTCTTTTTTCTTTTTAAATTTGCTTTATTGAGTTAGGTCTAATTCACATCAATAAACGAATCCATTTAAAGTGTAAAACTCAGTGAGTTTTGATAGATGTATATACATATGAAACCACCATTATAATTACGATACAGAACATTTCTATCACACCCAAAAATTTCCTATCGCCTCTTTGCAGCCCATTCCGCCCTCCACCCCCAACCCCAGGCAATGACGGACCTGCTTTTTGTCACTAGAGATTAGTTTGCTTTTTCTAGAACTGCATATAAATGGACTCATACGGTACGTACTATTCTATGTCTGAATCTCCCCCTTAGTACAAGGATTTCAAAATTCATCCATATTGCTGTGTATATCAGTCCTTTCTTTTACAACTTTATTGAGGTATAATTTACGTAAAGTAAACCGCACATATTTAAAGTCGTGATATGGGCATACACCTATGAAATGATGGTCATAATCAAGATATCAAACATTCTCATAATCCCCCAAAGTTTTGTGCCTATCCATCCACACACACCCCAGTCTGAGGTAACCACACATCTGCTTTCTGTCACTATAGATTAGTTTGTATTTTCTAGAATTTTATATAAATGGAATCATACAGATGTACTGGGTTTGGGAATTTTTATTTTTTGGTCTGGCTTCTTTCACTCAGCATAACTATTTTGAGATTCATCCATGTTGTTGTTTCAATAGTTTGTACATATAATTCTTCATTCATTTGGAAGTATTTCCTTAGGATAAAGTCCCAGAAGTAAATTTCTCAGGCAGAGGGTCATTTTTTATGTTATTTCTCAGTCAAAAAACCCATTTTAAAAGATTTTATTTATTTATTTGAGAAAGAATGAGAGAGAGAGAAAGTATGGGGGGGAGGTTCAGAGGGAGAAGCAGGCTCCCCACTGAGCAGGGAGTCCGATGCGGGGGCTCCATCCCAGGACTCTGGGAACATGACTTGAGCTCAAGGCAGACTGAGCCGACTGAGCCACCCAGGCGCCCCCAAAAACCATTTTTTATAGCTCTTAATATCTGTTACTGAATTTCCGTTTGAAGGGAATGTAAAACCTTTGTAAGTTTATTAAATTATCTGCACCCTCACCAGAGCTGGATATTATCCATGCAAGCATTTTTAAAGATGTGAAGTGTTACTTCATTTTGTTTTCCTAGTAGCATGTCTTTGAAATGAGTGAAGAGTTTTTTTCCCCACGTTGCTTTATGAATTTTACTTTCTCTTTTATAAATCCATTCGATTATGACAACCAACTTTTGGAAAATAAGTTATCCAAACACACTGTGAATCTGAAGACCCAGGACTATATACCTCATTTACTTTGCATTCCCTGGCCCCGGCACCTTGAGCAAACTGAATGGCGTTTGCCCATTCTTTCCTTTATTCCATAAATGTTTACCCAGCACCTGCCAGGTACCAGACACTCTGCTGGGCACAGAGGAGTGAACAAAGCAAGAAAGCTCTCGTGGATGGTGGGCAACAGGCAACAAAACCAACATTGTGAGGAAGGTCCTGGAGGAAATGAACAGGAGGCCTGTGGTCAGGTGGGGAGAGCAGCTCCTTTTGCGGAGACCACCAAGAACCCTCCTTGCCTTATCCCGCTTCAGTGCTCCCACCACTTCTGTTGTCACCCTTGGAATAAAATCCACATTCCCTGGGGGATCAGGCCCCGGTCTGCCTCTCTGACATCACCACTCCATTATCTAGCTTCTGGAATTAAGCTCTTGGAGGAGCTAGATGGAGGGGCTTTCCCCAGGAAGTAGCTTGACCTCTCACCTGCTGGCCGAAAGGTGCGGGGGTGGGGGGGGAGGTTCCAGGCAGGTGCGGAAACTCCTTCTCCACCCAAAGACTGTAATCCAGCTTTTGTCAGAGAGGAGTGAGCACTTCTGGAGATTATAACACTGCTCTTAGGGGTGCTAGCGCTGGGCCCCGGCTTGTTGCTCTTCCAGGGAAAACCCGCCATCAACAGAAGGAAGTATGTGAGCACCTGTTTGGCGGTTGCAGTGGTTTCTGGTTTGTACCTGTCAGCTTCCCCAGACCATTGACTCCTAAGATGAGAGATGACTTGATATGAGAGCAGGGGCCTCCGAAGTGTTCCCCGGACCATGACCTGGGAACTTGTTAGAAATGGACATTTCTAGCAGCAGCCCGGACTTACTGCATCGGCTGTCTGTGTTTTAACAAGACTCCAGGTAACTCTGATGTGTGTGTGCTCAGGTGTGATGGCCAGTCTGCCCGTGGCACACAAGATGATTTTAAGAGGTCTGTGGTCACCATTAGAAAACCCTGATTCCCTTGGAGGGGGAAAGTACTTGCCTTTTCAAATGTGGTTCGGTCATTCTGATTACACCAGGAGAAGATCACATTTACTGCCGCTGTATCTAACAGTGCTCTGGTACTGGCATATTTCCCTTCACAAGGAAGACAGAGCAACCCCAGGCGCCGAGCCTTTGGCAGAGAGAGACACCCAGAACCCACTAACACTTTATTTTTATTGTATTTATTTTATGGTAACTTAATATTTATGGTAAAGGAAACTAGTTTTTTATTTGAGGTAACAATGTAAAGTTTAATTTAAAAGTAAATTCATTTTGGCGCCTAGGTGGCTCAGTCAGTTGAGCATCTGCCTTCAGCTCAGGTCATGATCCCGGGGTCCTGGGATGGAGTCCCACATCAGGCTCCCCGCTCAGGAGGGAGTCTGCTTCTCCCTTTCCCTCTGCCACTCCCTCCTGCTCAAGCACGCTCTCTCTCTCAAATAAATAAATAAAACCTTAAAAAAAAATAAAAGTAAATTCATTTAGGTACATGGGGTGCCCGAGTGGCTCAGTCAGTTGAGCGTCTGACTTCAGGCTAGGTCGTGATCCCAGGGTCCAACTCTGGGATCGAACCCTGCATCAGTCCCCTGCTCAGCAGGGCATCTGCTTGTCCCTCTCCCTCTGCACACCACCCCCCATGCTCTCTCTCTCAAATAAATAAAGAAAATCTTAAAAATAAAAATCAGTAAATTCATTTAGGTCTTAAATAAGCCGATTTCAAGAACAATATTCTAGAAGAAGGAGTAAAGACAGTATGTAGTTTGCCAAGAATCTTGAGGTGGTACAAAATTGTCTGACATTCAGAAGGCACCAAGCTAGGACACATCCTTGGGTGAGTTGAAGAAAAGGTCCTTCAGACTTATGGGGGTGGGGAAGCAAACAAGTAAGTTAACTAAAAAAGAAATACAAAATATCAACACCATGAAAAATGTCCCATTACACGAGGCAAAGAGAAAACTAAACCAAGCCTCGATGGAGCTGAACTCTGTTGTTTTCTAATGGAATTTAATCAGATCAGTGCCTATTCTTGGGAATTTGGCTCCTACAGCCCCCAGCTGACTGTCAGTCATGGGGGAGGTCAATGACGTTTAACTTGACATTCAAGGCTTGAACTCAACTGGCAACTATCCCAATAATCTTTAACCAGATATTCTTTTTTGACTGTTGGTCAAGTTACATATGAAATGTCTCTTCTGGGGCATCTGTGTGGCTCAGTTGGTTAAGCCAGTCAAGCATCTGCCTTTGGCTCAGATCATGATCCTGCGGTCCTGGGATCCAACCCCATGTTGGGCTCAGCGCTCAATGGGGAGTCTGTTTCTCTGTCTCCCTCTGCCCCCCCCCCCACTTCTGTGCTTGCTCCCTTTCTCTAATAAGTAAATAAAATCTTTAAAAAAAAATGTCTCTTCTAAGAAGGAATTTTTGACTTGGCTTTCTAAGGAATGGTTTTCTCTATAACAAATTTGAAATAAAACCTCAGCATGTACTCACAAGCACTTCCCTGAGAGGTTGCTCAGCACTAGGAACCAATTAGATCCTATGACCGTAGGCCTTTTTTAGGGCAAAGATTTAAAGAACGATAAAAATTGCTGTTGGCAATGGTGTGCAACAAACAGACCTTATACACAGCCTTTGAGGGAAGAGAAAGTTGGCAGTACATTTTACAGACCTTTAAAAATGGACATATCCCCACTTCTGGAAAAGATGGCAAAGTAGGAGGATCTGAGCCCATCCCGCCCCATAGACATGCTGAGATTACAGCAAGATTAGTGCAACTAATTCTGAAAACAACCTGAAGACCGGCAGAACAGACTTTCCACAGTGAACCGTAGAGAGGCCACATCAAGAAGGGTAGGAGGGGCAGAGACAGGTCGGGAACCAAACCCCAGCAGGAC